ACAATGATCGAACGATGTGTGACGTCTACTATTCATCTAACAGTTGAAACATTTGTACATCAACGCATTCGTTTTCTCTTTGTTTGAGAGGCATTACTTAGAAGGTGACGGATGACAAGGCAGACACAATTTTATGGATAAAGTTATCCATACAATTGTGTCTACCTTGTCATTCGTTTTCTACCAAGCATTTAAGATTGGGAGGCCTCTAAACGTGTAAGTTATTTTCTTTTACTAAAGAATAGGATTTCGATCAAAAGGTTACAGTTAAAATGACAAATACAACGTTTATATCTATAAGGTTATGGTGAATTTTGGCTAAGGCGAAACAACCACTACTTTGAGAGTGGATGTTCAGAGTATGCGAAAAAGTGCTTCACTTTGTATACATGTAAATATGTTTGATGATACATCTGTTGATTTTGACAGCCCAGGCCTAGTCGGACCCAACACAAGCCAAACATTTCTGATAGAGACTATGTTGAGAATGTAGAGGGAAAACGGCTTCACTTTGAGACCCTTGTTTTAGTACAGCCATCTGAGACACCTTGTTTTCTTTATATACCGCCATCTGAGACACTATAAAATGGTATTTAGGTAGATATAACAATAGTCTATAGATGTAAACAATTTGAAGATACATCTGTGAGGTTTAAGATGATTTTGACAGCCCGGGCCAAGTCGGACCGAACTCTTCAGACAGATTTTCTCAAGAAAATACAGCAAAAATGCTTCACTTTGAGCCCCTTGTTTTCTTTAAAAACGATGTACCGTGACATTATAAAGTGGTATATAGGTAGATTTAATACTAATCTATAGATGTAAACACATTTGAAGATACATCTGTGCGTTTAAAGTAGATTTTGACCGCCCGGGCCAAGTCGGACCCAACACAAGCCAAACACTTCTGATAGAGGCTATGTTGAGAATGTAGAGGGAAAAGGGCTTCACTTTGAGACCCTTGTTTTAGTACAGCCATCTGAGACACTATAAAGTGGTGTTTAGGTAGATAAAACAATAGTCTATTGATGTAAACACATTTGATGATACATCTGTGAGGTTTAAGTTTTAATTTCACAGCCCGGGCCAAGTCGGACCGAACACTTCTAACAGGGATTTTCTTAAGAAAATACAGTAAAAGAGCTTGACTTTAACGGCCCAGCTTTCTTTGAATGCGATATACTGTGACATTATAAAGTGGTATATAGGTAGATATAACACTAGTCTATAGATGTAAACACATTTGAAGATACATCCAAGCCAAACACTTCCGATAGAGACTATGTTGAGAATGTAGAGGGAAAAGGGTTTCACTTTGAGCCCCTTGTTTTCTTTAAATACTGTGATCTGTGACATTATAAAGTGGTTTATAGGTAGATATAACACTAATCTATAGATGTAAACACATTTGATGATACATCTGTGTGTTTAAAGTAGATTTTGACCGCCCGGGCCAAGTCCGTCCCAACACAAGCCAAACACTTCTGATAGAGACATGTTGAGAATGTAGAGGGAAAAGGGCTTAAAATTCACTTTGAGCCCCTTGGTTTTTTTAAGTACAGCGATCTGAGACACTATAAAGTGATATTTAGGTAGATATAATACTAATCTATAGATGTGAATCCATTTGATGATACATCTGTGCGGTTTAAGTTGATTTTGACAGCCCGGGCCAAGTCGGACCGAACACTTCTGACATAGATTTTCTTAAGGAAATACAGTAAAAGAGCTTGACTTTAACGGCCCAGTTTTCTATAAATGCGATATACTGTGACATTATAAAGTGGTATATAGGTAGATATAACACTAGTCTATAGATGTAAACACATTTGAAGATACATCTGTGTGTTTAAAGTAGATTTTGACCGCCCGGGCTAAGTTGGACCCAACACAAGCCAAACACTTCTGATAGAGACTATGTTGAGAATGTAGAGGGAAAAGGGCTTCACTTTGAGCCCCTTGTTTTCTTTAAATACCGCGATCTGAGACACTATAAAGTGGTATTTTGGTAGATATTATACTAGTTTATAGATGTGAATCCATTTGTGGATATATATGTGAGTTTAAAGTTGATTTTGACAGCCCGGGCCAAGTCCGACCGAACACTTGTGTGACTGTTGAGAGTATAGGGAGAAAAGGTCTGCTTTAACCAACGTGTTTGCTTTAAATACGATGAACAGTGACAATATAAAGTGGTATTTACTTAGATATAGTACGTTCCTATAAATAGAAACGCTATGCTGACAGATGGAAATTTGTATCACGATAGCTAGAAATATTTGATACGTTTCAAATCTTATTTCGTTTAACGGTTGCTCTTTTACATGTTACCTAGATCAGCGACGCTTACACACAGCTCCACTTTCTGGTTTTCAAGTGATTTACTCCTAATTACTTAATTATTGTGCACTTTTTTGTTTGGTGATTGTTCATTAATGTCATGAGTGTATGTTGCATCAATTATATGTAGGTATGATGGCCAATAATGAAGTAATTAGCCAATAACACTTTGGCCCATCTTGGCCCGGCCCGGCCCGACTTTTAGGCATTGCTAAGGTAGACATAGGCGTCTGAGGTGAACACAACTGCTGGAATTGCTTATTGAGATGTGGTCTGATCATTTCCCATCGGCGGTAGTTTAGCTCTGTGTTCACGTGAGCGAGCAGACCTATGGCATCAGTGGCCTGTTTTGCCAGTTGTTTGATGTCTAATTGCTGCAATGACATTTCCTTGTTCTTAACTTTTAGCAGGTCGCTGGCCAGGTGTAGCAATGGCACAGCTGCCCTAAGGACAGGAGCTTGGAGTTTCTGCATCTTTATGTCATTTGACCGTTCTTGTGATTTGAGCTTAGTCCAGATTTCTGGGTTGACTTTGCTCGTTTTCACCAACTCACAGACTTGTAAACTGAAAGTTTCTCTTTCAACTTTTCTTCAGGCATTTTCTTGAACATCATATTGTTCATTGCCTCTGCCAACTTTGTTTGTATAGGTGGGCCTAAGAGATCTTCGTTGGTATAATCCTGAAGCAGGGAATCTAAGAGATCACTACTCTCATCCATTTGCGTGGAGTGATCCGCTGTTCCCAGAGCACTTGCAGCCTCTTCAGCTGCCACCGCGCTAGAGTCGGCATCATCAAAGAGGTCTTCCATGGCGCCGTTCCCGCCACAGTCAGACAGCTCGTTGCTGGACTCATGGCCCATGGCGCTTTTAGATGATGAAGCATTCATGTCATCCAAGATTTTGCCGAGTACATCACTAGCTCTGGGAGAGTGCTCCGCTGATTGCAGCATAGCGTCCGCCATCTTGGCTGGTACCCCCGTGGGGCTGTTGTTGATCACCTGTTCTGTTCTTGGTAAAGAACAGATGGATGTTGATGACCACTCAAACGGTAATTGTACACGCTGAGAGTTGGTATTCCAGCTCAAACGGTAATTGTACACACTTTGAGCTAAAGGGCGTAGATTAAGTCACTGACTTGTCAGAGCATTATCACCCGTGTCTTCTTCCTGCAAGGTTCGTTAACGCACTGACGCCTGGTTCGCTCTCGCTATCTCACGTGATCACGATCTACGTCGTGATTGGTTGAAATATAATCGAAAATGACAGTGACGATTAAAATGTTGGGACGTATCCGACAGCACGACATTAAACTAATTTTGGTTTGTGTGACTAAAGTTGTGAAATTACACCACAGATATCGTCAAAATATATGCAGAGTCATCATTGAGGTGTTATGCAGACAATAAGAGACAAAACAACACATTTTTAACACTTCCTACAATGAAGTTCAGCTGCATTTGGAATGAACCATTTTATACCCACTTTGACTGTTACCACTGCTTGCTTTCAAACGTGTGTTTAAGTAGCTTTTTCCCATCACCTTCAATTTTAGACTATTCATTGTTTTTTATAGTCGTCTATTTTTCCAGCTTCATAAAAAGCATCCAGTCAGTTTGACATAGGCATAAACAACACGTTCTGTTAATCACATTGTCGACATACTCAGACCTATTGTGGAACATAACGTTCAATAATTTTCTTAACATTACCCAAAGATATTAACATTTTCGGTGTATTTGTTTCTGAAGGGGGTCATTATTTCTTTCGAAATAACAAATAGAATTCACCCCTAATGGGAAATATCAACCCCGTCCATTTAATCGGTATTAATACTGATTAACTAAATTGGTTGATAGTTTCCACATTGAAAAGAACACTTGTATAGATTTTCTATCTACTACCAGCTCGATACTGTATATATAGTATACTTCATGGAATTATGCCTATAAAACTTGTTCAAAATTAAAGGCTATTTTCAAAAGTCAACAAATCGTCAGCAAAAAATGCAATTTATTATCTAATTCATACACATGTGACACATGTATGCAATTTCCATTGTTCAACAAGTAACAGAATGCTTACTGGTAGCCTTTCTTCCCTTCTGACCAACAAGTGAAGCTCTAACGAAGCTTTACTGCTAATGAGGCTTATATGAACATGAGCAGCGTTCGAAATACCTGCCTGCCCGACCGGCCGAGACGGGCTGATTTCAACTCGGGCTGTCAGATTTTCAAATCCACCTGCCCGACGGTCGGGTTATATTTCATAGGTGAAAATATTCTAAATATTTCCCGATGATAAGCATTAATTCACATGTAAAGATGAATGATAAAATGTAACCAAAAAGAAACCCCGTTAGCTTTTAGACAACCTAACATTTAGCGATGCGCTTATGCTACAAGCAATCAGTTTTCATATTTTTAATTAAATTATCCTGAGAAACATATGATTATAGTCGGCAGGCAGGTTTTGGTCAGGGCTGGCAAGTATGATAAGCTTTTCAATGTATACACACGAAAGATAAATGAAAAAAATAGAAAAAAGACTATGGGGGAAAATAAGAGCTATTCCACTACAAATAGTTTTCTAGGACGTGAACATATATCATTTTTGACAAACAAGACATTCAATAGAATATTTATATAATTCATGATAATTCAGCTATGGCAAGGTGTTGGAACAGAAAGAAGAACTGGAGCAGAAACACTTGCACCTTCTGCAGATTCTTGACAGCGAAAGGCAGGCCAAGTGGCACTATGTTCAGCAGACCGAGGAGCTGGCAGCAGAGGTGAAGAAACTCAAAGCTGAGGTTTGCATACATTGGTTCATATGTATATATTTCATTAATTATCCAGTGGATCATAAATCAGAATGTTAATGGCAATGAAAACCATGTATAATTAAGTTTCTTGTTTCATTTGGCAATTTAAGTATTATCAAAGAGACATTTGTACTCTGATCAGTAATTTGTGTCCGGCTTTTGTCATTATGTATCAAGTGAAGTGCTCCTGTAGACGACTTCTATAAAGTCAAACAAGTATAATTTTTGTCCAATCAAAGACAATAATTGTGTTACTAAGTGTTATATATGTATATGTTTTACTTTGCTTCTTGAAATTTGTGAACACGTGTTTTTTATAACTTTGTGTGTATATTTTTATTCATATTAATAACTCATCTATTTGTAAGTTGTTACGTTTGTGAATGTTGGTTCATACAATTAATTCAAACTAAGTGTTTTGTATGTGTTTAAACCTGAATTATTGTCAAAGGTTTATACAATGCACCAACTAACAATTCTGGCCAGGTACCAATTATCAGAATAAGGCTCTAACGTTTTTCATTGGGCCACCAGTAATTTCTAAGAGGAGTGCATGTTTTGGCCCTGTAACGTCTTGTGTTTTCTGTAACTGTTGTAACTGTTGTCCAACAATGTATCATGTAAATGTGTATGACATAATATGTTCTTTATCTTCTCTGAACTGATGATGCCAGCAACATAATTAGACGATAATTTGCTCACGGCAATAAAACCTAAATATTTGTGTGAAAAATCATAATTGTGCAACACCTTACCGTCTAGGAATCTGAAACATTGACAGCTACACCATGGTATTTAACTCACCAGTTAAATAAACCAGTGCACTATCGATCACCCGGATATGTACTCAACAAAGAAAAAAACCCTAAAATCCTGCATGTATTGATATTCTAATACTTCCTGTGTAAATATCAAATATTAAATTTAAACATTTTTTTCTAAATCTGCAACAATGAATGTACTATTTAATATTGTTTAACTATATTGTAATTCACCGCAGGAAAATTTACCATTAATAATTGTATCAAAAGTCAACATAACGTATCTGAATATTTGTATCAGAATATGCTGTAGCTAAGAACACGTTTAAGAGACCAGAAAAATCGTACCTCACATGCAGAAAACTGAATTGTTACTATTTTCGTCACCTGTCTAAAAATGCTAAGTTTTGCAATATAATCTATGTTATCGAAGTTAAATCTGCTTATTCTCATTCTCAAAACATAATGTTTCTTGTGGATGTCATATTTAGACTGAATATTTTAAACAACAAAATCACACTGATTTGAACTAAATATGATGTCAACATTGGATGGAACATGCATGACAAATATTACTGCAGTTTGACAGATTAAGATGTTTAAAGATCTGAGAATGCGTTTTGAAAGAATTTATGGGACGGGAAAAAGTGTATAGGTCGAGGTTAAGGACATCTTTAGCAAACTAGACTTGAAGCTGAGAATAATCTGTATTACACAGTATCTGTAAGCCCTGGAGTTAATTGAGTCCTCATTTTAAAAAGAATATGAAACAGGTTAATACTCACCACAACGTACATTATATAGCATTTAACGGGATAGATAATATTAATGAAGATGTCTTAGTCAAAAATGATAAATCTAGAAAAATTATAAAGAACACGTATTTGCTTTGAGAATGATTTTACGATAAATGTCAATGTGATAAAAGGGTTTGTGCGTCAGATGTTTTTATACATGGTTATTCTCGATTATTAAGATTCAGAGGCGGGTCCAGGTTTTTTCAAACGATTTTTTTTTCTCTCGGTGGGCAGGTTTTTTTTAAAACTGGTTGTGGATCCCAATTTGAGGGGTGGGTAAATTATCTGAATACTGCCTGTGGATCCACCGCTGGTGATTATTTCAGTCATTTTCTGTCTCTAAATCTAGGATAAGTAAGTGTATGACGATAAAAAAAACTGTTTCTGCAAAAGTTGATTGATGAAGTATACATTATTACAACTGTTCTGAACCAACCAACACTAGACAATACAATTAACACATAGCCTTAGCTTTAGCCTTATGCAAATTGTTTTGCATAAAGACAACACAATTGCAATGTTTGACAATGCTAAGCGTCAATCTACACCTGGCATATTTTACTCTAGAATAACTGTCGACAATTTTTTTTATCGATAAACATCCATTTTATTTAGAAATGTCAGGATAGTGTTTAATACCAAATCCCAAACCTCATGTCATTGAAAAGAGACATTATAGATTGCACACAGATGTGAGGTGGAAGCTGAAGAAAAGACTTCTTCAGAATCTTCAGGTTGATAATCATTTAAAGATCAGCTGGGTTCTTTGACAAATTGTCTTTTTGTAGCCAAAGCAAACCAATGAAAATGCTTCCGTGTCTCAGATCTTGGAATTAGTAATGCTAAACATATACAGTGACAGGGGAGAGAGCAGAGGCATAAGGGATCATAACTGGATACCCTGCAGATCCATTGTTGTGGAATCCTTTTACCTATTTGAAAGGATGCCACAAATGTAAGTGAGTGAATGAGTATTTCTTAAAACACCATCATCATTTCTGCAACCGTTCGAAGCAAACTATCAATTGTAAATCGTCCACAAGCGATTGGGTTGAATGCCAACTATTGTACAGAAGGAAGTTTTACCTGGAGATGGAACAAACGGTAAAGTTTTAATTTTTTCTGACTGACGGATTGGTAAATGCGACTATTGGTGCTACAACAGTAATTCAGCCAGGGGGCATGAGTTTTGCCAAGAGTGAGCATCGGAGACAGAGATTTTATCAGTGAAGTGAGGAGAGGATTGATGTCCAAGATGGACCAAGATTCAGTCATGGAGGCATAAGTTCCCTGAAGCTGGGAAGGGTCTGGAACCAAATTCAAGACTGGATCCTGGGACAACGTCCGAGTTAGAATTCTGAGATCCCTAAAAGCCGGATCCCTAATGCTCGAACAAACAATGCAATGACACTGTACAATGATGACCGCCGGCCTTTGCCGAACAGTGTGAGAAAATGGACAGTTAAAGCCGGGGAGCGGTGCGGTCACTAGACAGTGATCAGACTAATTTTATGATCCGGTGACAGAAGAATGGGAACATGAAGAATGAGCATATTGTTCAGATGACAGTGTGAACTGGCTAATGTCGGGACCATTTTGAGGAAACACTCTATACATCTTCCCGAGGCAAGTGAGTTAACTGACTATAAAAGTCCAGTGGAAACTGGACTTTTAAAGTCGGTTAACTCTCTTGCCTCGGGAAGATGTCTATACAAGGGCTCTGTATGTCTCCGATAAAACCTCTATTTTCTGTCACTGACCATGTGCCCCCTTCAAACTGGTCATCAGGTGGAGCACCAAGTATATCATTTCTGGAATAGTGTGCAATACGTTTTCAGGCTTGTATTAACTTTTGATTCAGGTACGACATTTGGCCCCATGTTCCCTTCTTTTCTCACAAAATTCTGATATAATTGTTTAAACAAAGCCAGGGCATTCATTCCTTTACTCCTCGAGGCTAGGGCTAGGGAACCTATTTCTTGTAACAGATCACTTAACGGGTACATGACCCTGAATGTCCCAGTGACACTGATACTGACTTTTGCAGGTTAAACATTCTCTGAAATATTTTCTCCAATGATACTGTTGGACTGATGACCCTGACATTTGGCACGCAGTATCCTTCCTGTGAGAAAAATCTTATGTTGTTCAAATCAATGTGATTAAGTGTAATTTTAAAATAATATTTAATTTATTTCAATAATAAAACTGAGGACAGAGGCCTTAAACATTTATTTATGTCAGTTGAGTCACTGTGCCTTGATCTTCTGTTTTATGACTTATGGCAGTAACGAGTCGGACGTGAGGGTAGAGTTCGTAGTGAGCTTAACTCCTGAACCGTTCATTACACTGACATGCTCCGAACTGGTGACCTTTGCTATTCAAGAGTTGTTTTTCAAGCTTTTAGATTTGTAGAGTTTGACTTAGATTCAAATCATGAGTTCTGTTTTACAGCGCATAACTCGAGAAACTAATCAGTATTTTTTTTATGAAACTTTGATGCACATCACACAACCCTCACCGAATTCTGGGTGACTGTATGGAGTAGATTGTCGGGCTTGGTGATTTGGTTCATTGTGTGACATTGTTATAAATAAACAAGCAAACAAAGCACCAGACATCAGTTAGAAAAAGTTAGACAGAAAAAATATCTAAATTTGTGTGTGTTTTGTTATGGAATTATAGTTTTAAAATTATGTATAACATTGCTATCAAAGGAAAAGTTCTCTATTGAAAAATACAATCCCTATAGCACGTCATTGAAATGTACAGAAAGATTTTCATAGATTAAAGGGAAAAATACTGTTTAGTCATCATTCAAAGCGACAGTTGTACTCACAAGACTCGTCTAAGGCACACTGAAGAGTTATGTCCCTTGGTTACGCCAGGAACCCACGATCGTGGGTTCGAATCCTGGTTTGCTCAAATTATGTTTCTAGATTTGCCGGCACCATATCCGTGCTCGTGAGTTTCACCAAAGTGGTGAAGACCTGTATCACTTAAAGCTTTCCTCACACATCAAGCTGACATGCCGTGATATAACTGGAATACTGTTCAAAACGGCGTTAAATACAACTCACTCACCCAATTTATGGTTATTGTCTTTTGTTTCCAGTTACAGAAATTTCAGAAGGAAAGTGGTTCAAATCTTCAAGTTAATGAGGAGACCGATGAAATAAAAAAGATTAAGAAGGTAAGATCTGGAGGCACCACCGGTTCCTAAATTTACTGTACCTGATGAGTACTTTTAACAATGCTAATGTGTAACTTATTAAATGAGGGCAGGCTTATCCTTACAGTACTTGATAAGGTATCAAGTACTGTAAGTTGGTGTAGATAGGCTGACTATTAAGTAATACTTCTCTGGTATCTGTAATTCCTGTCACATTTTTGTAAGCAGAAACTCGGAGTTATTTCTTTTCTTACTGATAGTGATTCCACATTATTAGATTAATGAATTTCAAGTTGATTGTATGTAAAGTAAGGAAACAATTCCTTAAAGTCATGATTACATATTACATTCTGTTCTGTTTAACATTTTCATGATGGTTAAACAATGACAAGGTGCATAGATTTTAATGTTATGAAGTTACGCATGTTTGGGTTTACAAAGACGTATTGCTTGATATATTTATGGCGGATACTTTCGTATTTAGGCACATCAGAAGGAAATGATATTCCTTTCGATACGTCTAATCCTTCACATTTTGTATATCCTTTTCATGAACACCTGGTGTCATCACTGATTTTCAGTATTATTCATATTTTCACAGCTATTTTGCCCAATACGCTATTGAAGGCTGTTTCGGCGGATAACCTACACTGGTTATTCTCTTAATTCATTCTCACAATGTATATTTTCTATCGATATCTATGTTGTCCTTTTTTATAATATGAATAGGGTAAATACATCTAAACTGGCTTAATGCGACATGACATATCTGTCAGGTAGCGTACGGTAAATACATGGGACGTATTTTGGAAATATGGAGGCGTTCCTTGAAACCGTCACTCTCTGTCCTCTTTTGCAAGTACATACTTTTTAATCTTTGCAGTATTGCTGATAAAAAAAATATGGATTTGGTACCTACTAATCATTCCAAACGTATATTTATACGATGTGCCCAGTTACATTTATCTTGTTAACATTATATTATAACATTACCCCGTAGCCTATTACATGGCATTAAACCAATATTTAAGAGCCTGTATGTATTCAACTAATATTTAGAAGCCTTTACATATGAGTACATATACATGGGGAATTGATCATACTCTCCTCATACCATAACATTTGGAATGCCTCCCTTTACCCTAAGAAACCTGTTGCATTACATTTAAGAAATTAATTCAACACCAACATTTCTGCACCATAGACCCAGGGTAGAATATGTATGTCCCCATCACCCCATTGCTCGTCGTCTTATCCGATCAGTGTCAAAATTTCTAAATCCGAAATTATAGTGAGTGGGTTGAAATTTAACGTGGAATCGGCAATATCATAGCCTTATAGTAACTGTAAAGCTGAGTGTTTCTGAGCGCAATGGCATCTACACACAAAGTGGTGTACGATCAATGGTATATTGCTTTTCTGTGGTGGTTTCCATTTAAGATCAAAATTTCTGAATCAAGGTGGTAAATAAATGATGTCTAATCGGGTTAGAATGATAACATCTTATTGACTCAGGAACCAACGCATCGTTCATTTATATGGGTACGTCAAAGTTCGATCAGGGTTCACCTAATGCGAATTACTCTCGACCTTACTTCTGATCTTTACGTGGAGAGGTGTCACATCAGAGAAAGAGATATGATCATAATAACATTGAAGAGGTATCCTAAGCACCAGCATGTGGTAGAACATGTGGAAGGACGTTAGTAAGGATTTCTGTGGTCCTATGTATGTTGATGTTTCATGAAACTAAATTTCTTTTTTTTGTTATACTTTATACCAATACTTTATACAATCTAAGAATGTATTGTTGCAGGTTCAAAGCTTTTTTCGAGGATGGCTGTGTCGACGTCGCTGGAAGCAGATTGTGGAACTGTATATTCGGTCTCCTCATGCAGAGAGTATGCGGAAACGCAACAGCATTGTTTTCAGTATGGTAGAGTGTGAGGAAGAGTATAACCGCCAACTTTCTTGCCTTGTCACTTGTTTTCTGAGACCGTTAAGAATGGCTGCAAGTTCAAAGAAACCCCCCATATCACATGAAGATGTCAACTCTATATTTCTGAACAGGTTTGTTTTTATATTCTTTGCCTATACAAATATTAGGAAACTTAAACTGTGAGGTTTTGTTATTCTATTCTTCACACTTTATACCAAGAGCAGAAATAGATAAATGAGTTAAATATTATTGTTGACATTTTTAAGCCATAGAAGGCATTTTGAAATGTAACTTGGACCATTTCTCAAATATCAATTTTGACATTGACTGAGTATTGGGTTTGTGCATTGACATAATAATGTTTAATTGTGTATTTTAATAATTGAACCTAATGTGGCCTTTGTCCTTTTACATACTCCAGTTTATCTAGCTGTCTATCTGATTTTAAACATGAATGTCATAGCAGTTATACACAACTGTCATTTTACCTCATTACTGTGCAATTTTGACATGTACCATAATGAATTCTTTTTGCAGTTTCAATATCGTGTGAATGAATTATATATACTGAACCACAAAATAAACATCACCCAAAGTAACATTGCATGAAAAGTTGTCATTTAAATATATGAGTAATTTTTGTCAAAGTTTCTAAAATTTAACATAACCTTGTCCGGAAAAATGAAATTTGATGATAAAAAAACAAAGCAGATGCGATAAAACTGATCGCCCGAACGCATCACGGCAATGGCCATGGTAACCCGATGCACATGAGTTCCGTGCAAATTAAAATGCACATGCGTTCCCCCATTTCTTGCCCTATAAAATTCCAACCAGATCGGATAACATTCATTCGTTATTGAAATGCTGCCAAGATTGACAAGAAATCAGCAACACCAAGCCCTTTGACGATTGCAAGCTGAACAAATCGCCCGGCAAGTAGCCACTGCATTTCACCTCCACGTAAGGACCATATACAGGCTCCAGCAACGGTACCAGACCACCAATACTACAGATGATGACCGTCCACGTAGTGGAAGACCAAGGGTCACCATCCGACATGAGGATCGTCAGATTGTGCGACAGCATCTTCAAGATCTCTTTGTTACTGCTGTGGAAACTGCTCGACAGACCATGTTGACACACCAGCGACACATTAGTGCGGACACCGTACGTCGACAATTGACGAGCAGACAACTCCACTGTCACAGGCCACACCAAGGACCAATTCTGACACTTCGTCATCGCCGGGACCGTCTTCAGTGGGCAACACAGCACCAGCATTGGCGCCACCAGCAGTGGAGTGGAGTCCTCTTCTAAGACGAGAGCCGTTACTGTATCTCAACAGCAGATGGCAGAGAGAGAGTCTGGTGACGCCGTTGGGAACGTTATTCGGATGCTTGTGTGGTTGAGAGAGTCTCGTGGGGTGGTCCGAGCATCATGGTGTGTGGTGGAATTGGTCTTGCACAGAGGGTCGGCCCTGTGGTCTTCTAGAACATCGGTCCAGGGAGAGGCAATGGTGTCACAGCAGCTCGGTACATTGATCAAGTCTTGAGACCACACGCCATAGTTTCACAGTTTTTTACAGTATCAGCATGATAACGCCCGTGTCCACACTGCGAAAGCAACATTCCTCCAACAGAATGGCATCAGAACCATGCAGTGGCCTGCCCTCAGTCATCCAGATTTAAATCACATTGAGCAACTGCAGCTGAACTGCGTCAGACGTTCCTCAGAGTGTGAGCTCAAGGGCCTATGGCCTTCACCAACCGCCTCATCCATTTCATGTATCGACGTAGCATGGAAGTCATCACATTGCGGACACACGAGATACTGACTTGTGATGCCATTTTCTCAGAGACTAGTGTTGTGTTTCACTTTAAGAACATTTGACACTTTTATTTCAACTTTGATGATCAGTTTTGCCAAGTTTCATCTTTTTAATATGTCTCAAAGTATGTTTACAGTGTTTGGACAAATAAGGTTTCTCATATAGCTATCCATGGTGACGTCTCTTTTGTGGTTCAGTATATTTTGAATTTGGAACCTTCCAAAGACCAATGCATACCCTACCCTAAAGATATCTAGTTTTGCTAATTTTTCAACGATTCTTTTGAAAGCTGTGGGACTTTGAATCGGAAATTTGTGTGTGTATTGTCTCAGCAATGATGCACAAAATAGGCAGTTGAACATCCGATTCTTGGTATGAAACGTGGTATACATGATCTCCAAGGTGGCTTTCACTTGTAGGTGGCTTACATACAATGCCAAAGTGAAGAAATTTTGGATTCATTCGTGAAATAGGTACGCATTCCAATCATTTATCCATTTTCCTAATGCGTTTTCCCAAACCAGAAGTGATGTTCTAAAATTGGAAGTGCTCATTACTTTGTTATTAATGTAACTACATTATTGTGAAAGTGTTTTCCCAAACTGGAAGTGATTTATGAGGTCAACTGTCTCTTAATGTGTTAGAGTTACATGGTTCATGATATTTTTCTGATCGGAAAAGGTTTGGTCATTCAAGAAAGGTTGCCTCTGTTTTTGCAAAAGTTCACTCTCATCTCTGGACCAAAGCTTATTTAAATAATAGCCAATCACATGAAAATGAAAATAATTATGGTAATGATAATTAATATATTTCGTAGTTATAATGATGAATGTCATGGTTGATCAGTCCTATGCAAGAAGGCGGTGGCACATGGGCCAGTTTGGTGATACGGACCTCTGAATTCTGCCTGGGACTCATTTTCAATCATAATTTAACGTATAAGCTTATATTAGGCCACATATAAATTATCTTAAGACTTAATGCCTGCAGGCTTAAAATAGCGAATACAAACTGGGGAGGTGATCAGACAGCCCCCCTCCACTTGCATGGTGGAGCATTTAAGAGTAATAAAGAAATTATCAGAAAGGAAGTAGACTTTACCCTTACAAAAAATTAAAATCTGACACGAATCATAAACAATTCCATCATTTTTTTCAAATTCTCTTTCGTTAGTATAGGCTATAACAAATATGTCATTTAAAAATCCTTTTTTTACTAAAAACTGATGACTTATTTAACCATCTTGCATGAAACTGAACCATCTATCGGTTACATCCATTTGGGTTGTCTGCCTAGATTTGAAGAGGTCAGTATGAATAAATATTCATGTGCATATCTACTGTGGCCAATACGACATCGTCGCATATTGACCCCTTCAATCTAGGCTGACAACCCAAGTGGATGTAACCGATAGTTGGTTCAGTTTCATGTAACTCATTGATATCTACTTGCGTGCCCCACTTCTGTTGCATTAGATAACAGGTGTATCATCTAATCATGAGTAAATAATCACTGTAAGGGATCGGAAGTACTGTCACAGTTTTGTTGACGCTGCCTTTGCCGCAGCATCAGTCATTGCGTTACCAATGATTTCAACATGACTGGGAAACCAACAGAAGACGATGCATATTGGCCAGTAGCAAGATGATTAAATAAGAAAAAGGATGTTTACATGACATGTTTGTTATAGCCTATAGGCACGGAAGGGAATTTGATATATTTGAGAGCTGTTAAAATAGTGTGTTTCTGCTGTGAATATTAGCTGTTATTTGCTAATCTTGAAGGTAGTGTTCTGGATCAAATAACAGTGGTACTAGCAACTGTGCCACCATCCTTGGATCCATCTGTAAATATAGATAAATAAGTGTCTTATGTGTTTCTTAACTGAATGTATTGATGTTTATAAATGTGTGGCCCAGTCGTCTGAGGCGCCGCGATTTGCTGTGCATAGTTGCATCCCTTGGGCATGCCAGAAACCTATGATTGTGGGGTCGAATCCCGGTTCGCCCCGATTATGTTTCTAGGTTTGTCAGCACCATACCCGTGCTCGTGGGTTTCACCAAAGTGGTAAACGTCCGAGACCTGCATCACTTGGGGCTTTCCTCCAACATTAAGCTGACACGCCGTGATATAACTGTAAAACTGGAACCGTGGCAAAGTATCCCTATCAGGAATACAAGAGCCTGGTCACTGTTTCATCATTAGAATGAGTTCAAAAGCAGATACTGAGAGGTGCCGTGTTGTTTTGTTTTTCTATTATTATTTTTTCTCTTTGTTTGTTTTTTGTTTATTGTGCATAGAGTTTGGCATGACAAGCTGATTTATAGGACCCTGATCATCCTACCACTGGTCTAAGCAAAGTAAGAGTCAAAGTGGTGTATTGGACTCCAGTCCTCTGTTGACACAGGGACGCAACCCACGGTAAACAGGTTGCCCAATTCAGTCACCTTTTAGGATCAACAATGGGCTGCTAGAGACACATTCTACCCTGGGTCCCCATTTTGTGTCGTATTGGCCACCCTAGGTTTATACATGAGTTTCTACTTTAAAAATGGTGAAGATGAATCTCCTAAATGTATCCCTTTGTGACGAAAAGTTCACTGTTTAGCATTTTTAGCAAGGGATTCATTTCACCAATCTTAATATCTTCAGGACTTTTTCACACACGTAAGTGGAGATCAGATTTTAAAATACCCTAAAATACTAGAAATTGAATTAATGAATAAATAGTGAAAACGTGTTGTATGTATACACTGTTTTATTTATTGGTGTGATTACATTGAAGCATTATCATTTCAGGTGGTTAAAGTAGCAGAAAATGATTGCCCAACTGCTGATGTTATGATAAGTCCTATCAAAATCAAAGTAGATATAATCAACCATGATTTTAATAACATTATCGTGAGCCTTTTGGAATACATTTCACATGTTGGAAATTTATACCCCCAACCAATGCATCATATTTTGTACAATTCTGAACAATATTCAGAGTTTCTTGTGATATGGGGATATGTAAGATAGGTCAAGCAGTATTAAGTCTGATGCTTAGTTTTAAATACACATATTTTATGAGTTTGCCGATGGATGGAAAGCGAAAAGAAAGCAATTATGATATTGTCCGATTGAAGATTTTCACTTGTAATGATCAATGATATAAATGCTAAGACAATTCAATGGGCTTAATTCACCTTGTATGTTACCGACAAAACCCTTTCAATATTCACAAGAAATCTCTGCCAAAAGCAGAGTCGATTATATGATTCTGACTATATCATAAGCATGTGTTTATGAATTATTATCAAACAGCGATGATACCAGGTGTTCGGGAAAAGGTGAGCGTATCCTCCCTAATGGTTGCACCCATCACAGAAACATGCAAAGTTTAGTCAGTTGTTCACATGAAAAAACACGTGAACATTAGGTACAAGTCAAAATGGGTGATTGCATCGGGCATCATTCTTGTCACTGATGTGTCCTCTACATGTCCACTAGAAAACATTTTCAAAGCTTCGCTGAGGCCATGAATGTTTAATCTTGATCAAACAACTTCTGAGCAAGAGTCATGTAGAGCTCTCTGAATTCGTGGTAGAAAGAGCATGCTCAATTGTCCCTCAAAAGCTGTCAAATGCAAACACCAAGGGCTGGAGCTGCAGGAATATTGCTCGACATAAAGGGAAAGTTGACTCTTGGAAAGTTGAAGTCATCCCTCTTGTCATAGTCTTGTGGAGAGTGTTTTGTCACTCTCAATCGTTATGCATAGAGCTAAATATGAAACAGGTGAGGTGGTCTCACTGTCCTCCTTTATTTCTAGTTCAGGTTGATAAATCAATGGAAGGGAATTGGCTATTCGATGCTTGTTAAACAATATCAGATAATCGATATACCAGAAGCTTAAGTTAAACTTCTTGACCAAATTACCTTGTTTTGACTTTGCCAATCCGACCAGATATTCTGATTCATATGCATAGAGAAACAGATCATCAAGAAGCAAAGCACAATTGTTAACCTATTGGGATGCCTACCTTTTGCATGTCTTACCCCAAATTTTGCATATTAGTGAGGAAGTCCACATATTGTTTTCTCAGTAATCGTCAGCATTTGTTATATTTTTTTACCAATTGATTTGAACCCTGGAACATACATATGTAACTGTATCTATGGTCACCACGTCTTGTAACAAAAGCCCCTGGATCAAGGAATAAGGATTTCCCTTAAGTTTGTCATGTAAGATAGTGGTGTATAAAGTTTAATAAAATGTTTTGACAGAATTGAACCTAGTTCTTTCATGACCTTGAGATTATAATAAGTCAAGCAAATCTGTTGAGATTTTGAGAATCCGCATGGTATCAATTTCACTTGTCGCAAATACTTTCTGTGAATATAAAGAAAGTCGTTCCTTGATTGAATTAATGGTTATGGTTAATTATTGAGACAGGGATTTTGGACACTATCTTGGACTCAGCGATATATCTCTCTTTGCAAGGATTTTATGCAGCTTTGGAACGCAGTACATAAGAGGAAGGGCATCTTTTCAGGTTTCAGAATCAAGTCAAAACTTGAAAGTACTGATGCATGGCTAAGGCAGATTTCTTCCTCAGCTAACATACTGGCCCGATATGTCACTTATGCCACATTCTTTGATCAAACAATTTATGTAGTGCTGCTTACAATTGTTATGTTGATAAATGCATCCCCATTATAGAACACTGAATGACCATGATCTTTAACATCATCCTGTCTCATGTGAGAACATTACTTGCAAACTTCAGTAGGGTTACAAATACGAAGGTACCATATCACACTGAAAATCCTTTCTGAATGAACATATTCACAAGTCATTTCATGAGCAAATCACATTCAAAGTGACATTTAGCGTATGACATGAGACAGGTGTTGACCTAATCACTTAAAGTCTATCATAAGTGATTAGAAAATGTTTAGATTGTTCGGGAATGAAACTTAGATTTCCGTATATTTGAACCATGTTTCACAATTTGACCTACAGTGATCTACATCCACAAGTTGATGTGATCAAACCCCCGCATTTGAGTGAGTGAGTTTGGGTTTTTAATGCCGCTTTTAACAGTATTCCAGTTATATCGCGGAGTGTGAGCTTAATGTGGGAGAAAGAAAGCCCGAAGTCTCAGATGTTTACCACTTCGGTGAAACCAACGAGCATGGGTATGGTGCTGACAAACCCAGAAACATAATCGGGGCGAACCGGGATTCGAGCCCATTATCAAATGTTTCTGGCATTCCCAAGGTATGCAACTCTGCACAGCGAATCGTGGCATCTTAGACGACTGGACTACCCATGGGCCACCCATGCGCCCACCCCCCCACCCCCCCCCCCACCCCCCATTTGAGATCACATAAATAAGTTTGATACAATTCTAAAAAAAATACTCAGGTATTGGGTACACAAAAGTATTTGACACCAAGATCATACTGAGGTACCTTGAACTTCAGTGCCATCCTATCCTATGTCAGAAAACCTTTATAGGGGTTTAGCAATGCCCTCATCTCCCTCCTCCCACCCTACCCCTTACAGGAAGCTCCTTAAGATATTTTTCATGACGGATGTGCTAAGTTTTGCCATTGACACATGTGTCACTTTCCAATTTCACATACTAAACATTTTTGTTTCAGTGAGACCCTACTGTTTTTACATCAGATATTTCTGAAGGGTTTGACAGCAAGACTAGAAAACTGGCCAACACTTGTATTAGGTAAGGACTTTGCGTATTTTTGTTTTCCTTTGTGTGTGTCGTTTGCAATCAATTATCCCCCACCAAGAAGTGGAAGGTGGATATAGGAATGGGTGTCGTTCGTCCGTCTTTCCGTCCTCCCGTCCGTCCGTCACGCTTCGTTTTCGGGTCGGAACACAAAAACTATGAGAGATGTCTTAACCAAACTTGGCACATATATAGGTCTAGTGGTGAACTGGTGCCTTCTGATAGTTTGGGATTTTTAAAAAAAGGTTATTTTTCGAGTTTCCATGGCAACGACTTTGACTTAGACTGAAAATGGCGGTTGTCGTCGTTTCCGGAGCAGATCTTGAAAACCGTATGATATTTCTTCACCAAGCGTGGCACATAATGTCATCTCGCAGTATTTTATACATTTCCTTTCTTGTTGCATAGCTTATGTTTGTGTTCCTCCAAAAGTGTCATGGACACAGTTGTCGCATTCACTTACTAACTTCATGCGAAAACTTCAGGATCTCTCCAATCAGCATAAATGTGAACATGTCCTAGTTACTGGGGATTTCAACTGTGATCTGAGTGAAAAACTGAAACTTGAAGATTTCTTTAATGTGAGTGTAGCGGCCATAAAATTCGATGGGATTCGAACCACGGACCTTCTGATCTGAGGTCGGACGCCTTGTCCACATGACCAAAGAGGTTAACCCCATCAGCAAGCTGACAAGGTAAGGATGTCATCTGTGGAATGACACCCCTCCCTGCTACAAGTAATAACACAACTCATTACAAATACAACAGTGTAACTGTTCTTAAACCTACTCAACTGTATAAACACTGCCTCCTACCATACTATGTACTTCACTTGCTTGATAACGATGTTAGAACCTACACCTAAACGTCGCTCCTAATTGTAATAAAGAAGTTGTTCGTCCATATGTCTCATCCTTACTCATTACAAATACAGTTACGTATTCTATCATAAACTGCAGATGGCTAAACAAAACCAGTAATAACTTTTTTAGTGCTGCAATTAGGCCATTACTAAAAGGTCCAGTGAACATAGTTCACAGGAGCTAATGCATTGCACACAGCCGGACATGTCATATTGGCGGGGGGATATGAGTATTTCATGCTTGTTATACTTGGAATTAGGAATTTGTGAATCATGAAATGCAGTAATTGATTATCTTGCATCATTATGACATTATGACTAAGAAACACTTTCATCTCTACTGACCAATATCAATCTCTTATGTTATATGCGTGCCTGTATGTTCAGCTTTTCATTGGAATCAACAACTTTTTTTGAGTCTGGTAATTTGTAAACAAAGCTCCCTTGGATATTGTGTCCAAGACGGAAGTGGCATATGCATTAAGCGTGTTCAGGAGGTCATGCAACTGCAAGTACATGCCCCTTCTCTCTGACACTCTGGCACTGTCATTGGTAATCACGCTAGTATGCAGTGGAATCGAAGATGGATCACAGAAAATGCAGAAAACTATACAATGACGGTACTTACTGGAGAGATAACGAGAAGGTTAGCTTAATTTCTGAGTTGTCTTTTCGTGACTTTGCAGTACAAATTAAGATATTGTTCATCTATCATAGTCGCTTTACCAGTTTTTTTGCTGAAGATATGACGTTTAGAGCAAAAGTATTTTGCATGAAGTTCGAATGCCATACAATCGTAAATGCTCGCCAAGAAGAACGGATAATACTTTAATAGTTGCGCAATCACAATGGCAAACTATTACAATAATTTAATGACAACAGAACCAAATGAGATATTGAGCTGTGCCAAGTGATTCTGCCAGGTGCAAATAGGATTAGGATATATCATAATTTTAAAAGAACATTCTCCTATATCATTACCAATTTTGAACAGAACCCTTAGGAAATGTTGGAGAGGAATTAGGAGGTTCCAGAATATCAAGTAAAAATTAGAATATGCCATTATAAATATAAAACATACTTTGATTCCTACATATATGTTAAAGCAGCTTAAAATAACATATTACTATTATTATGATATATCTATGTTGCTCACTATACACAAACTAATGAAACTCATATGAACAAACAAACAAACAAACAACAAAGTTTGCTAAGGATCACAACTTTCAAAGGAAATACATCAAATTGTGTGCATCTGTTGAAATAGCCAAAGACAATATTGTGTGAACACATGTATCTGACCATAACTGAAACGTAAAAAATCATTGTCCAAAAACAAACAACGTTCAGTTGCACATATGTGATCCACGTGATGCGATCACCATTGTATAGAGTCTGGATGGTTTCCAAGAGAAACATGTACTACTCTTCAGTTAGAGCATTGCAGTGTTCCTGTAGAGTTGCTGGAAATACAGGGCGTCGTGAGAGGGCAATCTGCAGCTCCTAATACGTGTGTTCGATAGGGTTGCGGTCTGGTGACGGGGCTGGCCACTCCATGCTGACAATGGTCTCCTGCTCAAAGTAGGCATCAATGACCCTGATACAATGAGTTCATGTCTTATCATCCTTGGGGATGAAGTCTGGTCCGATTGCACCAGCATAGAGCCTTACATACACATCAAGGATGTCATCCCTGTAGCGCCCACCTTTCATCGTGTCCCACTGTAGGACATGTAGGACATCAGCTCTACTGATCCCACTCCTTCCAGCTCTACTGATCCCACCCAAAATCATGATTGAGATTCCTAAATAGCGGTCATGTTCGGCTATGTTGGAATCCTGCGTTCTTTCTCCATTTCTATGCCACACTCAGGCACGACGATCTGTGAAGCCTTGACAGTATCTCGATTCATCTGTGAAAAGTACTGACACCCAGTCCTGGTCTTGTCCAATTGACGTGATCTTCACTGCAATCCAAAAGGGGTGGCTCTGTTGTCTGGTCAGTGGGATGCCAATGCATGCCCTCTGTGACTGGAGACCAGTCTCATGGAGACGATCACATACTGAGTAGAAACTTTTACACCACTGGCGTTCCGCAGGTCATTTTTGAGTGTGGTGGTAATCACAAAGTGATAAAGTCTTGCTGAAATCAGGAGAAACCTGTATTCATGCTGTGTGGCAGAACACTGTCGACCACCTGCATGTTGCTGGGTAGCTGAGACAAACGTCTGATATCGATTCCATGCCCTGCCGATTACACTTCGGCTGTCAAATGACATCTTTGACACTGACGGATAATAAATGAATGTAGTTGTTGCAATCCTCAGAAGCAAATGTTGTTGTGCTCTCTGATAACGATGTGCATTGATTCTGTCACGATACATCCAAATACAGGTTTTCAAGCACCTCGGGCACAACGTGCATCTCGTCCACATCATGCCCATGACTGCATGCCTACGACTGCATGCCCACGAAACCGCTTTATCAGTTGTTCATATTGGGAAAGGGAGGTCAGTCTAATTTCAATCGGGTGCTGTCTCCGTTGTTTTCGTATTTGCGAGAAATGGCATCAGTCACGCTGTATGTTGTTGGTCCAGCTGATTAGATGCACAATTAGCCATGGGTGTGTTTCATAGTGCAAGTGTCATGACTCGCAAACGTCAACATAGACCTATGATAGGCATAGAGCTATGATCACTTTGTGAAAGGAGGCCAGACACTGAACAACCTGGGTGCCATTGTACAAAGCAAAATTAGCACAAAGGTGATTGTACCTCCCATAACGTAACCAAGACAAACGGCAGTCCTAGCGCGAAAGATGTTGTGTATAATGCATCCAGATCCTTTAAACTCAGCTCTTCTTCCCCTAGCTGACCACACTAGTTTTGCAAAAAATATACTCAACAACAAAAGTTCCTGTGACCCCAATATTTTAGTGTATTTTTCAAACAAGTAAAGTTTGGTTTTCAATATTGTAGTACATGTATGGAATCAAGTCACAAAAACGCAACTGCTACAGAAAAGCATGCATTCCATGCAAAAGTCCCATGCATTCACTTCCCAAGAATGGGTATAAAAACATGTGCGTTAACGGGATTCCATATGCCTTGTTTAGCATCGTGCTGAGAACAACCACTCAGAAAAACAACAAAATTATGCAATTATTCAACATTACGAAATGCCATGACTGTCCGAAAATGAGCGTCTGCGAGCCATTGGTATGCTTGAAGCAGGATCGAGTCAACGTGTTGTTGGAAGACAATTTAACGTCCACAGAAACACCATTTGGTGTTTATGGCAACATTGGCAACAGACGAATGCAGTCAGAGACCATCCTCGGAGTGTAACCAATAACCAATAATCGACAAGACAACTGGATTCGAACAACACACCTACGAAATCTATTCCAGCCAGCAACAGTGACTGCAAGAAGCATCCCTGCCCTTCAACAAATATCTTCACAAACCGTACGCCGTCGCCTCAGATGTGCAGGGATTGTCGCCAGAAGACCCGCCAGACGTCCAATTTTGACAGGAAACCTCTGTAAGCACGTCTACAAGTTCTATTCACAGACGAGTCTCGTTTTCACCTCAGCCACAGCGATGGACGGATTCTAGTGCATCGACGTCGAGGTGAACGTTACGTCAATCATTTTGTCATGGAAGAAGATCGGTTCGGGGGCGGCAGCGTTATGGTATGGGTTGGGATTACAACAAGACAGAGGACCCATTTGATAGTGGTAGAGGGAAATCTCAATGGACAGCGCTACAGCGACGAGATCATGGGCCCTGTTGTTATACCGTTTTTGCATTGTCATGGCCCAGGCATTACCTTTCAACATGACAATGCCTGGCCTCATATTGCTCGACTTGTTCGGGATTCCCTTCAACAAAACAACGTGAATGTCATCCCCTGGCCGGCTCACTCCTCTGATCTCTCACCAATCGAGCACATGTGGGATGAGATGGATCAGCGCCTTCGACGTCAACCACGTGTTCCACAGACACCCCAAGAACTTCGAAACATGCTCCAGCAGATATGGACATATATCCCACAGGACTTTGTGCGACGCCTGGTCCATTCCATGAGGAGAAGATGTGTTGCTTGCATCGCAACGAGAGGTGGACACACACGCTATTGATTTGTAAATTGACATTTTGACATGTTCATGTTTTTTTTATGAAATCACGCATTTTCTGAAGTCAGTATGGCAAATTAAACCATTTGGACACAGGAGTCTTTCATCTGTTGCAAACCGAAATGTTTCAGATTGGGTAAAAAACATAACTTTGCATTAAATCTTTTTCAATGTCACAGGAACTTTTGTTGTTCAGTATAGATAGACTGATGGCAGGACTAGGCTGAACAATTGGAACAGTATCAACTGGTTGTTCTGACTTGACCCTTGTCAAGTCAGTCTGACACAAAATTGTCGATGTTGCAACGGAGCGGCAGACTGCCGTGGAGTAGGAAATAGTTGAGGGGGTAGTGGTCTGATTTTTGGCATCCAAATAGGATATGCTTCGTTCTCATTTCAGTTTCATAATTTGTGATTCCATTTGCCACACAGGGCATGATATGGAGAAAGCAACATGTGGGCCAACACTTCAAATCTTTCTCACAGTGCTATCATGGCTGTCACCGATGACATGCCACAGAGCTTTGACAGGACTTGGAACAATGACCAAAATGTTGGCACTTGTAGCATGGGAGCGGATTGGGGACATACACATCCACCCCGATATTGAAATAACCTGCTTTAATTGACCGGGGAAGTGATGTATGGGCAAACGTCATGAGATACGTATTTGTATTCGTGATGACACTGTCCTTGAACATGAAACGATTAACTGCAGTTACAGCCTGGTCTTCCAACTCTGTAGCGATTTCTTCTTCAAACGAACAGTGCCTCGCCAAGAATTTAATGTTCTGTGCACAGACACAGCAACCTCAATATTGGCAAATGTAGAGATAGACAAAAGATTGAGTGATTGCTGTCTCCGTGCACACTCCACCAGAAGCGAACCACTACCAAGATGAGTGACGTTCTTGACCTCACCGCAAATCCTGGACCCAGCATTAGAAATGGCAAAAGGATTTAATCACCAGGCATCTAGCCCAGGTACCAATATCTTGAGAAATATTTCCAGTTGAAATATCAATGTCTTCTAATCGTCTCGTCACTATATGGCTGAAATAATGTTGATGCGACGTTAAATTTTAACTCACTGACTCTAATCATCTCTTTTTTTCATTGCGAGATGAACCAGATTGTTGTTGAGCCATGATTGAAGAAAATGATTGGGCACCCTTGCTCCCCACCCGCCATTGAGTGTCAACAGGGACAGTGTTATATTGCACCTGATATCCAGGATGCAAACACCAGGGATACAGGGATGTTATACTCCAGGGAAGATGACACGAACAGCTGTATTTGTCTACCAACTCAATGCCAGACTGGTTCGACCCATGACAAGAAATTGGAAACATACATTATTCGGAGGTCAGCATGACCAGATTGGCCCATGAGCCGACGCCTTCTGGCATAGGACTCGAGGCAACATTTTATTTTACATTATGAAGGTCATCATATATCCTGATCAGAACTTGTGTTATATGATATTTCCCAATTATCAAGTATTCCATGCACAGGGCATGGGGTGACCAGCCGATTGATAGAATCGGGCCAATTCTACCACCCGTCTTGGTGAAGTAAGGGTCGAAGTGATGTGTTGGAAAATGATGTTCGCTTTTTGCTTAATGGGAAGGATACGACGACGTCTTATCATCCGCGTGGTAAACCGGATCCTGGAAGGTCACGTGTTGCCCCGCGTGTCTGATAATTGTTCAACAGTTTTGTAATGGTGCTTGGTGCTACGTGGAAAAATCTAGCTACAGATGATTCTCCTCTTTGCAATCGACCGATGGCGTTGTTACGTTGGGAGTCCCGTTAGTCCTAGCATGTTTTGACTCTTCACTTGCTGTAAGATTGTGCTGGCATGCAAATGAAAACCAAACGTTTTGATAGTCATTGCGTGGTTGTGTTGTTTCCATCTTTTCACCAAATTTCTGTAGTACCTCATTCTTTCCATACGAATCAGTCACAATTAATGCAGATGGATGTCTGCAACACTCTGTCAGATTTGATTTAAATAATGCTCTATTAAACATGAGTTTACATTTAATACATAAAAATAAAAAGCCAAACGTTTATAATAAAATATCCATTCTTTCAAAGATTTTTTCATCATTACCTTATATTATTAAATGTGTTTCAATGCTTATTTTATCATGTATAATATTTAATAGAGCTTTGGCGTATAAATGAGGTATTTAAACTGTATATAGCCATTTAAAGGTATGGAATAGTAATTATTTAAGTAGGGTGGTGCTTATGCAGTATGCAGAAAGTATAAGGGGAGTGATCTGATCCTAGGGAGAAAACAATCTGGAGTGATTTGATCCTGAAGAGTGACCTGATCTTCCCTTAATCTCTTCTTGTTGGATGTTTACTTGAGACCGCAATCTGTCAATCTTATTAAAATTCAAAGAGTTTCTTTATATCAATGTTGCTGTCTCACTGAACTCGTATAAGGGCATTGTACTTGAACAACAATTTGTTACAGCTGTCAAACGATTTACTGTAAGGGAGGATGTTGAGGTTGAACTGACCAACTATCTCATTAAGTGTGCAAACTGCGGGGGGGAACCATATGGCATCTTTAAAATCCCGCCCTCTGTGGCAACGCGAATCCTAAAAATCAAACATTAGCTAAATATCTCCTTTCAATAAGCTAAGAAGAGGGTTGCCAGTCTGACTTCAACTATTTCCTACTCTGCTGCAGTGCCCAATCCTGATGTTACTCTTGCCTCTATCCACCTATCAATTAGACATCTGTCAGTACAGTTCATAGTTCGTACTATTCATAAAGCTACAGCAGCTTCTTCTATCCTGGTGAATCAGGGCATAATCAATGCCCTGTTCCATTTATCACTATTCTTCACACTGTTGCTGTCAGTGTTACTTTGTTCAAAGTGTTTGCATCCTTCTTCAAATGTCCGCCAATCTGATCTTCAGACTGTGTATGATCAGATCCCAAAGCCCTGCATAATCATTGGGTTTATATTTTGTTTGTTTGTTTGTTATTTAACGCTACACTCAGCAATATTCCAGCTATATGACGGTGGTCTGTAAACAATCGAGTCTGGACCACACAATCCAGTGATTGACATCATGAGCATCGATCCACGCAATTGGGATACGATGACATGCATCAACCAAGTCAGCGAGTCTGACCACCCGATCCCGTTAGTTGCCTCTTCCGACAAGCATAGTAGCTAATCACAGGGTCATAATCCTCTATGGGAGAGTACTGATACAAATAATGACGGAAACAGAGCTTTGAATGATTTATGCATCTTCCGTGATGGATGTAACACTTAACTGCATCCTATCATACTCTGCTCTTGATCTTTACTTACAGATACATATATTTTGAATGAGTTTGAATAGTCGGTTCATGATGACCTTTGTGGAACTGACCATTTTCCAACAATACTTACAACTATCAACTCTGATGAAGAACCACCTTCAATAGGGTGGAACGTTTCAAAAGCCAGTTGGTCTTTATTTCAAATACTATGTACTGAAAACCTAAAACTGACAATTTCAGGCATGTTCCTGATCCTATACAACTTTCATATGCGTAAACCATGATTTGATAATGGATCTGGATCCCAAGGTTATTAATATTCACTCACACGTCACATCCTGTATGGCACATTGTTGTTAAATATAAGTCAAGAGGAATATTGATATTCTTGCTCATGCAAATCTTTTTTTTGTTCTTCTTTTGGCATCTTTTGATTGATTTTCAATAGAAGTCAAGATTGATTCAATGCAATATTAAATCAGCAATAGTAAATCATCGCATAAAGTGTTCATATGATTCGTGTCATAGCATTATATTTAAATCTTCTTTCTGCAGGGGATTTGTTTGACATGCTTCTACCAATGCTGAGCATATATCAGGAATATGTGCGCAATCATCACTACAGTCTACAGGTACGTGTTTTATTTAGACATGTCTGGTAGTTTCATATTGCTTGTAAGGTTATTAGCTTCATTGCCGATATACCAGCTCAGCTTTTATCAGCTCACCTAACTGAAAGTCAAGTCAGCTTATCCTATGGCCTGTTTGTCATTCATGACTTATTTATTAGCCAAGTAGTTAAAACTGAAACTTTATATGTGTTTTCCTACCCATGATAAGAGGTGTGAATCAAATTTCTTGTATGTCTGCCACATCAGCCACTCAGGCATTTATTACATGAAATTTAGTGCATATGTTTAGTTAGTACTAGTGTTCAACTAGACCATGCTATTAAATACTCTCAAATGCATCATTTGCACTGTAAACATCATCTCCTACACAACAACTGGGCTGAAATATCACATGCTTTTGTTAAAGAAGTTTCATCTTAACATACTTTCCATATTTGCAATATAATAAATTTTGACCAAGTACTTTCTTGAAATGCAGATTAATGCAATGCAGTATATATTTTTCCTTTCTCACCTTGTTATGACTTTTTCATTCCGATCACCTTGTTTTTGACCACAAAAACCATTGTTCTGACCTTGTCTTATTTTATCCAAACCCAATCATGTGCTGTCCCTGTACTAACCATCCAAACTCATGTCTGAAGCTTCCCTTTCCCATATATTTCATTGTAGCATAATACCATGCTATAAAAACGCACATATGTGACCGTGGAATAAACATGCTCAACTGATGCACCAAGAATATGTATTCTATTTCATGGAACATATCAATAATTGTGTTGTACACAATTTGAGTAACGTTGATGTACATATTACAGTGTTGGAGATTTTTTTTTTAAAAACACACTATCTTTACATAATGAATGAGTGACCACTTTCAACATGTGTTTCAAAATATTCCAGGGGGCAGTGGGGTAGCCTAGTGCTTAAAGCGTTCGCTTGTCACGCCAAAGGCCCAGGTTAGATTCCCCACATGGGTATAATGTGTGAATCCCATTTCTGGTGTCACCGTCTTGATATTGCTTGAATATTGCTAAAATCGGCGAAAAAACATACTCACATGAATTAATTTGTTTTTGTTATCTGTGAGGGTGTGTTCAGGGGTCTGGACCCGCAAAGATCAGGGGTAGAATAGGTCTTCGGAAACTCGTGCTTGCCTTAAAGGCGACTATGCTTGTTGTAAGAGGCAACTAACGGGATCGGGTGGTCAGGCTCACTGACTTGGTTGATGCATAGTCCTTTTGTCTTTGACACAATACTGTTCGTGGCTCTTTGAACAGTTGAAGGAGTATGCTTTGTCATTTTGGGGCAGGCTTTGGAAGAATGCCAGGGCAAAATGAAAGTTCATAATGACAAAAAGTCTGAAAAAAGAAATTTCAGTCCTGGTGATAAGAGTGTTTTTGTCAATCCCTGTCAAGCAACACCTGCCAGGTACCATGGTCTATATCTTATTGATAAGAAAGTGATATTGACTATGTTGTACAGGCTGGCGAAAAAAGACTTTGTCACGTATGACAGCTTTGTCATGTCAATATGATTAGAAATCATCATGAAAGAAATAACAATGTACCTACTCAGTGCGCTACCAATGTTTCTCCTGTAGATATTGTATCGGATTATGGTACTGATGAGAATTTAGACGGCATTGCTGACTATGCTAGCTGAAGCTTTAGATTTGAAACTTAGATGTTGAGCAAAGGGCTCAAATGTCAGAGTTTATTAACAAGTTTACTCACATTTTTTCTGGATGTACCTGATCGTACAGATTTTGTTGTCATGATGTGGATGTTCGTGATGCTGTGCCTGTGAAACAAAATCTACAAAATCAAATCAAGCGTGAAGCCCTGAAGAAGGAAATTGAATACATGCTGGACAATGACATGTTTTAACGAAGTCATAGTGACTGGAGTTGACCTTGAATTCTTGTACTGAAGCCTGATTGTAATTACAGATGGTGTACAGGCATGAAACGGGTGAGCGCTGTTTCTAAAACAGACGCCTACCCAAAACCAAGAATTGATGACTGCATTGACAGAATCGGTCAAACTTAGTACGTTAGCAAGTTTGACCCATCGAAGGGATATTGGCAGATTCCACTGACTGTGCCAAGTGGGTCCCAGCTTTTATGACCTTATCAATACAAAGTTGTGCCATTTGGGCTCAAGAATAATCCAGCCACCTTCGAGCGTCTCATCCACGATAATACAACCTACGTCGATGCTGTCATCACTCATTGGAAGGGGATCCATCCCTTCTTCGAGAGTGTCACTGAAGCCAAGTTGACTGTAAATTTGGTGAACTGTGAATTTGCAGAGGCTCATGTACAATTTTTAGGTCATATTACATGCCATGTTCCCCAAAACAATAGGGAACTTATAAGATTTCTGTGTATGGCTGGTTACTACCATAAAAAATTTCAAACATGTCTCACATGTGGTGGCCCCACTCCCTAATTTGCTTGGCAAAAGCAAGAAGTTTGCTTGGTACAGCTATTGTCAGGACGCTATTCAGAAAACTAAAGCTATTCTCATGAATTCTCCTGTTTGTCCAAGCACCTAATTTTGAAGTAGATGCTAGTGATATTGGTGCTGGAGCTGTCCTGTTGCAAGAATTTGCATCAGGCTTTGATCATCCTGTTTGCTATTATTCACAAGGGGCGGTGGGGTAGGCTAGTGGTTAAAACGTATATGACAAACTATTCCACCATTGATTCAAATATACAATGCACTTTTTGTCATAAAATGAAAAACAAAAACGCTGAAGCTTGTCTTTGTAGGAATTTGATTTAGGCATCAAGAATATTAACGGTAAAAACAACATCTTTGCATGTCATCGTATCGCAATTGCGTTGATCGATGCTCATGATATCAATCATTGGATTGTCTGGCCCAGGCTTGATTATTTACAGACCACCGTCATATAACTCGAGTGCAAAAACAAACAAAATACTACATTTTGATGCTTTTGGAGTCAAGTGTTATCTGGAAGTTTATATAAGTTGGCAACAGCTTGGCTCTCTAATCTCACATTACCTCCCGATTAGCTGTTATGTGAAGATCATCTTTTCACCCTGGATATCCAGACTAGGCATATTGTGGAAGCTTGACCACTGTTGCTGCTTGGTGGATATACTCATCTCTGACTTTATTTCTGTTACTACTGCTATTGTATTTCATACTGCCAATTAATTTTGTACTGCGACTCCAGTGTGTACTACCATTGTACTTACTTTTCAGTAAGTTGTATTGATTTGTTAACCTAATTAATTTTATCGTACAATTGTTAATTGTATAACATTACATTGTTATTTTGTGGTTTCACACTGAATAATTTTGCATATACATTTCTGGGTTAACTTTGTTACGTGTCATTTCCCAATTGAAACAATATGTTAACCCAGAAATCTGTATGTATGAGAAGTTAGTGTGAAACCAACCAACCAACAAATGGAATACAATTAACAATTGTATAACAAAATTAACTAGGGTTACAAATCAATACAATTTAATGCACATTAATAATGATGACAGTACACAATAGAGTATGTTATTCAGGAAGTTTACAGATAGTTCGTGAATCTAAAAATAATAACTTCATCACCACTGCTTACATCAAAAAGTTCTACATTCCTGACAATTAGTCACAGTCAAATTACAATGCAGTGACCTTCTACTGAATTTTAACAGAAACAATGTTATACATTTACAATCATTGCTTAAACATAAATTACTCTGTCATATAACAACTTATTGTTTCAATTGTTTGGAAGTCGAAACATAACAATTGCAAGACGTCTCTGAACACATGTGTAGTTTGAAGGACAGCAGAATATTTGGGTTAATTTAATTGCCTTCTGGCAAAAATCGGACTGGCGTCTTGACAATAATTTTACATTATTAATGATGGCGATGAAAATATTAGTCATGTACAATAGGTCCAGTTCAATGCCTAGCCAAATCAATATTATGGAAGTCAACGGTCAAATGATGACGGTGTTGTTTGTCTGGTAATATTTTGATAAATATATATTAGTTGGACTTGTTAGAAGTCACCAGATGTCACATCTGTATTACTAATTAAGTGACCCAGTTAAACACAAAACTGTCAGGAATTCATCTTCATGTGAATGTTACTGTGATGTCTCCTTCTTATGCAGGTTCTAGCTGAATACAAGCAACGACCAGAATTTAACAACTTGCTGCGCCGCTATGAAGAGAAGCCTGCGTGTGAGGGTCGCACTCTGGAGACCTTTCTCACATATCCTATGCATCAGGTAGAGTTCCTTCTCAATATTTGTGAACATCACATAATGTGATGTTAGTTGTTCATTATATATTAAATTGTTCAACATTCATATCGACCACTATTTTTATAGGATATCAATGGAGCTTATGCTGTAGCCTGCTTGACAAATGTCCATCAGCCATAGTGTAAGTAAACATCACTAGAGCAATGTTGTATGAAGCTGAAACTTGGTCTCCAATGGTAACAAGAGTGACAATGTGTTCAAGAGATTCCCATACGATTTTCAATATTGCTGCCATTTTAAAGCTGAATGCGGACATTTTATGTGATTCATAAATGATCATAAATTGATTCATGAAGTCATTATGGTCAATATCCAATATTTATAGACAATGTGCCCAAATAAAATATATTGCATCAAATGTGCTAAAACCAGCCATGTGGACAATTGCACCTGGAAAAGATCCTTTGAGCAAAATTGTTCTCCAGAAAACTGCTATATGTACAATGTATGTAGATTTCTTTTTTCCTTATTGGCACAGAACAGGTGTATTAAAATCTGCCCCTTAATAAACATCCATTTAAATGGATTTTGAATAGTAGATGTATTCCAAAACCGGAGCAAAGGACAGAAAACATTCTTATGAAATAAATTAGGAATTTGAAGCCTTAAAGCCTCTATTTATTTAAATAAATCGTTTCCAGTAGCATAGTATAGCAAATGTGGTTATCCACTTCCAAACGTGCAAACTGTTCTCATTCAAAAGATGTCTGCATAATTTACCCTCATCTCAGCTCATAATCATGATCAAAACTAGTTGTTCAGGTTAGTCATTTCATCCAAACATAATAAGTTCACCATTTGAAATTAATTCATCAACAACAACAAAATCACCAATAAAGGATTCCGTCTGGTTGGTTTCTCCAGGAATCACTCCTATTCACCAAAATGCAATATTAGTATCCAGTACCCACACTCCATCTGCATCATCCTTATGAAAATATTCTTGGTGAACAACTGTTTTAAATGTATTTCCCATTTATAATAGAGATCAGTCATTCCACAAGTTGTTGTCAAAAGTGTACTTGAAAATAAAATGTATAATTGTAATTTGTAATTTGCCTGGAGTTTTATGCCCAGGAGGCGGTGGCTCATAGGGCCAATTGGGAGGGTTAATTAATCTGTTCATTTTTCTGCTTGTGTATATCCTCTGAGTGTCCTTTGTGCTGCAAGTCGGAGATCCATTTGTTTTTAGCATTGTCTTAATGGTAATACATGGTCAGTGGGGAGCTCAGATGGTGAAACATTATACACTCAAAATGGACAATGAAACCCCCTCAAAGAAAACTAAACCTCTTTTATGACAACGGCTGTCCAACTAAGGTCAATCATTTCCTTGTGATAAGACACCTCTGAAAGTTAACCCATTTGCACTTTCAAAGGGTATATATGGCATAGGAAGTGAGGTACTAAAATCAAACAATTGCGTTCACGTTCTTCACTCATAGAATGTACGATAGCAATTGACCAACCTGTTGTCATCACATTTGCTTCTCGTAGGCAAGATTTCGGTCTCTGCTCACAGAACCCTTAACACCAGTAAAGGAATTGTGAGAGACTGGGATCGTTGACACAAATGGATATTGTCTCTGAAAGGAAAAATAAACATGTAACTCATGTTAAACAATTCACAACCCGTAAAAACAAGGAAACATTTGAAACAAACACTTAATTTTTTCGTTTTCATCTCCAAAATGGACCCGTGAAGGTCTGGGGTAAAATAGGTCTGCAGCAATCCATGCTTGCCCTAAGAGGCGACTATGCTTGTCGGAAGGGGCGACTAACGGGATCGGGTGGTCAGACTTGATGACTTGGTTCATGCATGCCATCGTATCTCAATTGTGTAGCCGTAAAAGGCGACTATGCATGTCGGAAGAGGCGACTAACGGGATCGGGTGACTTGGTTGAAGCATGTCATCGATTCCAATTGCGTGGATCAATACTCGTGGTAACAATCACTGGATTTTCTAGTCCAGACTCAATTATTTTCAGACTGCCATCATATAGCTGGAATATTGCTGAGTGCAGCGTAAAACAACAAACAAACAAACCCAATTGCATAGACCGATGCTCATGATATCAATCACAGGATTGTCTTGTCCCGACTCGATTATTTACATACCGCCGTCATAAAGCTGAAATATTGGCGTAAAACAACAAACAATATCAAAATGCTCCAAAGTAATAAAAGGCAGATGACTGTAACATCAATGTTGAAATCTACGTTTCAAAGGCTTTCCAAATCTTCAGAGATGCTATAAATGCCAAAAGTACAACCATGGTATCTGCAAATTGTATGTTAGGTGTGCTCAGTGGTGAGTATACACTTACAACAGAAGATTGGGACAGGAATTTTTCTCAAGACTGTCCAGTCTGTATACAGCAAATGGCTATAGCACAATGAAACTCATTAGATTACTTATCTGTTCAAAACACGACTATGGCTCGATCATCGATGGTGGAGCCTGCAAAAGTAACCTTAAACTGTTAGTTTCTAACCATCATCAAGGTCTAAGTCTTTGTCTTGGAAATATCTGAACTTCTCCTATTGACAGTCTGTATATTGAGGCGGATGAGACTTCTCATAAACACTGCCATATTAAACAATCTTTACAGTACATCACAAAATGATATTCTAAATAGTCCAACCCAGCAAATAGCTGTGTGTTGAATCCCCTTTATGAGGATCTTTACAATAAGACTACTTCTAGGAATAAGAATTGAACCTTTAATTTCTGCTGCCAATATTGAACTTATATATCTTCTTTCTGTTTGTTTTCTTCCCCTCATAGGCAATTAGTAAAGCCACATGTGGATCTTTCCTTATCTAAATTAAAGATATCTGAAACATATCAACTACAATAATAACATAAATATAATCATTTAAGAAGCGAATATGACACTAACAAATCTATATTTACAGATGGATCCAAGGTTGGTGACACTGTAGCTGGATCGAGAACTTTATGAACTAAATACCAGCTAATGCTTCCATTTTCACAGCCAAATCAAAGGCCAATTTAACAGCTCTGGAATATATCATTAAACAAACTAAATATAAGGAGTTCATCATTTTGTCATACTCATTATCCTGTCTACAGGGAATGAAATATTTCCTGTCAGCATCCAAATATTTACTTAACATTGAATTACATTATGATCTGGCTATGACCAATACGACATCGTCTTTTGTTGGTTTCCAAGCCATGTTGGGATTGTTGGCAACACAATTAATGGCTGCAGCAAAAGCAGCACTCTGTGACATCACAGTGATTATGTACCTGTCGTGAGACGTTACATCCAAAACCTGATGCATAATAAGTGGGACATCCAACCTACTTTGATTGTTAGTTCAGATTTGAAGATTTTACCATTGTTTAACCTATGATTCCGACATGGCTGGGAAACCGCCTAAAGATGGTGTCGTATTTTCCAGTTCTAAAATATCAATAATCAGTGGATGAGTTGAGTTCTCATATTAAAGTTCCTGTAGGCATGACAATGAATCTGAGAATATGATAAATTGTTCACATTAATTTTGTTGGTTAATACATTCCATTGCTGTTTGTATAGCCTTGTTTTCAGTGGTGAATATTGAGCTAATCTCTGGTAGTCTAGATGATATAAATTTTGATCCAATGATCCAACTAGCAGTTTTGCCACCATTCTTGGATCCATCAGTAAATATAGAGCAGTGAGAATCAGATTTGAATGTTGATCGGATGTATTCTTGTTGGAAGACGAGTTGGTTTGTTTCTGATTTCTTAAAAAAATAGCAAGTGTTAGGTCTACCTCTGGTTTGACTAGTTGTCAAAGAGGTCTAGACAGCAGCTGTAATGGTGCGATAATATTAACATCTGTGTTGACTGCTATATGTGTCTTAATTCCGATCTCAAGAGGAGGAACAAGTATGGGATAAGAAGTGGTCTCACAGATTTGTTGAGTGCTGCTTTGCTGCAGCATAAGCATTGTTGTGTTACTTTTTATGCCCATATGACTGGGTAACCAACAAAAGACGACATCTTATTGGCCAGTTGAAAGATCAGTGTAAAGTTCTAAAATATCTAATTAATTGGATGAGTCGGAGATACATTATTCTGTGCTTAAAGACAAGAAAGAGAATCAGAAAACATGATAAACTGTTTACATGCAGAATAAATACAAAGGCTGTAAGGATAGTATTGGCCTCAGCAGTGAAAATCTAGATGATATAATTTTTGTTCCAACGACAGTGACACTTGCTACTTTGACATCTTCCTTGGACCCATCAGTAAAGATTGAATGGTGAGTGTCATATTTAGTTCTTAATTGTAAATATTCCTGTTGATATACTAGTTGATTTGTGTCAGAATTTTTAAATAGTGTCAAGGAAATGTCTACTTCCGGCCTCACCAACTGCCAGGGAGTAGACAAAAGATGGTAAGGAGAGATAATATCTAGATCCAGATTTGCAGCAGTAATATGAGATTTAAGTCGATTTCCAGGTGGAAGAACCAGCTTTATTTTCCTCTGAAACAGTTTAACAATGGAGTCATAAGCAGGATTGGAGTGATTGAAACGTAATTTAGTAATATATTGAAGAGACAATTTAGTACGGCGTTGTTTTAAGGAAGGTTCATCAGCCTCCACATAAAGGTCAACCAGAGAAGTTTGAAAAGCACCAAGACATAGTCTTAATCCTGGATGGTAGATTGAATCCTGTGTTTTTAAATTGCTCTTGCAAGCTCTAGCATAGACAATGGTTCCATAGTCTGGTTTAGAGCTTATTAGTGATGTATATAAGTAAAGAAAGGCTATCTGATCCCCTCCCCACTTTGAATTTGAGACGACTTTTACCAATCTAGGGCCTTCAAGCATTTTGTCTTGAGATATCTAATATGTGGCAAAAAAGGCAAATGATGGTCGAAAATTAATCCTAAACATTTGGCTTCTTTTACAGTCCTGATTGGAGTGCCTTCTAAAAAGAG